AAGTCCCTCAGGCCTCATGTTCGCAGTCGCGAAAGTTGCTGAGATCACGAGGGCCTCTGACCTGCGCCAATTTTTCGCAGATTTTTTTCGCGTGACTTCTACATATATCAAACCACAAAAAGATAAATTTCAGTAAAATCTGATTTTTTAGTGCTAAATCACATTTCTAGCATTCTCTAGCCTTTTGGATGTTACTATATGTATCACATATTATCACATGTGAAAAATGTGTATGCATTGCAGTAGTCTCTGTATATAAAAACAAAGAACCGGATAACCCCACATGTCAATTTCTTCCAATAATCACCAAACAAACATGAAAATGAGATGGGAAAGGCAGGAAAGAGAAAGGGCATGGGCCGGAAAGATGGTGGGTAAGAGTCGTAAGTGAAAAAATGTGTGTCACAAAGTTGTGTGTCAAAGCATTACATGTGTGTGCAAGAGTTGTGTGTGACAATGTTGTGTGTGTGTGAAGGAGTTGTGTGTGAAAGAGTTGCATGTTAAAGAGTTCCATGTGAAAGATGTCTTTCGTGTGAAAGATATTGAGGTATATGCAACACAGGTGTCAGTGAAAGAGTGATGCGTGAAAGAGCTGTGTGTGTGACAGGGTGTTGTGTGTGAAGGATTTGCGTGGGCACGCGCATGTGGTTGTCTGTTTGTTTGTTTGCTTGCTTGGTTGTTTGTTTGTTTGGTCTTGTTTTGTTTTGTTTTGCTTTGTGTGTTTGTTTATTTGTTTGTGCGTGCGTGGGTGTGGCCACACAAAACATGCCTCACGCCATGAAAAGCGGCGAGTGGCACGAGGTTCGTCGCGTCAGCGGCCTGTCCAAACGTGCGGGCGCAGACCATCCGTGGAAAGGGATGGTCTGCGACAGGTGTTTGGCGAAAGCAGGTGGTTGTGTGTGTGTGTGTCTGTGTGTGTGTGTGTCAACTCCTGTGCTCTAAGGACTTCACAGGCGCCAATTTCCTTCGTTTCCGTTATTTCGCAACCATCCAGCATGCTAGAAATTCACAATAGAATTTGACGACGGCAGTCCACCAAGAAGACGGCGAAGGCATCAAAAGAGAATGATGATTTCAGAAAAACATATTTTGCCCGTGGCGGTTTGCATTTCAACGTTGCCACGCAGAATGAAGGCCAATGTCACCAAGAGCCACGCCTGCCACACAGTTGTGTGTGTGAGTAAGTTGTGTGTGAGTGAGTTGTGTGTAAGTTGTTTGTGAGTGAATTGTGTGCGTGAGTAAGTTGTGTGTGTGAGAGAGTTGTGTGTGAGAGAGTTGTGAGTGTGAGAGAGTTGTGTGTGTGTGTGAGTAAGTTGTGTGTGGGTAAGTTGTGTGTGTGAGAGAGTTGTGTATGTGTGTGAGTAAGTTGTGTGTGAGTAAGTTGTGTGTGTTAGAGAGTTGTGTGTGAGTAAGCTGCGTGTGACCAAGTATTGCGAACTGATTTTACCAAAACAGCAGGAACACCTTTGCACAGGCATGATCAAACACAACCAACCCACCGACTAAAAAAACCTCAACAAGCAGGGGGCACGGCGCCAGATTTCTTAGACGTGCCAATGAAGCGACAGAAATCGGGTGGATGAGATGCTGGATGCATCATCTTGAACCTGCTGCGGTGCATCTGGATGCCTGAGTGCATAGCTGATGGCCGCTCAAACAACACATTTTTACAAAACAACACATTTTCCCACAAAGCTTCGGAGTCCGAGCACCCTATAGATCAGAACCGCAGGTGACGCAGGTGTGACAATAATGCAGCGTCTGCACCTTGAAGATCCTGAGATTCTGATTGTGGACCTGCCGGTACCGTAAAGATTTCTTCTGTGTGGCCTTGTGGCTTTATCCAGTGTGTCCCGGCGAATCCCTCGTTGGCTGCCGTCGTGATGGGTGATTGCGCCCCGACTCACTATTGACCGGAAAGATTCAGTAGTGTTTTCTTTGATGATATGGTACCTAGAGATTGATTGTAAAGATTCTATCCTGAAAGGTTGGCCGTAAAGATCCTTTCTTCAAGATTGACCGTGAAGATTCTTCCAACCTGTGCAAGCAAGCAACACGCACACGTGTATACCTAGTCTGCCCTAGTCAAGCTGGACACAATATATACTCAGTGGCATGATGATGTGGTTCTGATCTGGTAAAAAGTTGGTTGCGTTTCATGATGCTTAGCGCAAAATCTTGTTTAGCGACGCACGGCAAGGTGTGTAAATGACGTTTTGTTCTTGTTATTCAAAAATAAAAACCAAGCAGCTGGCACGATGCTTTTTGCTTGCTGGGGTGGGGCCCGGGGTGCTGCTCTGAACAATGTACCAGCCACAAGCTTCTTCCCGTCCATGAAAACGACCCGGGTTGACAACGTGGATAGCAACACCGCGTACTACATACCAGGGATGGGACAGGGCTTACACAAGTTGCTCCTACCCTCCACTTTCTGCTTCCTCTGATTTTTGCGCATAGGATTCCATCTTTTGCGGTTTGCAATTTTCTGTGCGCATGCGTGTTTCAAACTGTTTCCAATACGTTTACCCCCAGGTTCAAGTGCTGGATCTGCGCAGCAAATGTCAAAATGCACCTCCTCTAAATAAGGACAGCATTTCTTGATGTGTATCACACAGACTCATACATCAGGTTTTGGGACACTTCCCATCAAACAAGAAACCTCTGTAATTTGAAAACATTTTCATGCTACGCTTGAATTCTTGACCTACCATGATGTTGAATCCGGGATGCTCTGGCCCGGGAATCCCTTTGCAGATGGGGATTTCTTTGCCACACCAGGTGACAATTCCCCAGATGCCGTCTATGATAGGCAAAATGCTGCCCAGCGGCTGGCCAAACATGCCGCAACATCAGTTTCAACACAACCAAGGCCCTCAGATCATCTATGTGACAGTTCCGATTCAGGGACACTTGTCTTCCCAGCATGAGCCACCATGTGCACTGACTCCATCGGGTCAAACTGGCGCTCAGAAGGTTCCCAGTCCTGATCTTGATGCAAAGAAGAGGCACAGGAAGAAATCCAAGAAGCGAAGAGGGTCTAATTCATCTCCTAGGAGGTCGAAAAAGTCCAGAAGTTGCTCAAATCGTCTGTCACGACGTAGATCTAGGCGTCAAAGATCTTCTCGTCCCCAAGGATTGGGTACCACCTGCTCCTCCAGATTTAGCCCAATCCAGCAAAACAAGCTACCAAGCTTGGAATGAATCGCCATTTTTCAACCATTAGGCGTCCGCAAGACACCTATCTCACCTGCCAAGGATGACCACAACAATGGACCAGACCAACTTTGGGCGCAGGCCATTGCCACAGCTTGGGCTGATACGGTGCGAACCAAAACGCCCTTAGAATTCGAGATCCAGGCACCTTTGGCCTTCACTTCAGCTGATGTCCTTGGTGCTGTCCATATTATCGAACGGAAAGACCCTGAAATGCTATACCTGATATGAGCCAGAAAGCGGCCGACTCTTCTTGGGCGACCAAGTCTACGCAATATTTCTGCTGAGAGGGTCTCCTACATGGAAGCAGAAAGCGAAGGAATCGGAATGACTTTGGTTGAGATCCCTGACTGGTATGACGTGAGTCCAGTCTTTGCTGCTCCTGCAGATTTTCGAGGTGATCGCCAGAACACCTATCGATCTAGCTCGGCTCATGGGCACCGACTTCTATTCATATTCAGCTGGCAGAATTTTGACTCAAGGAGTCATTCGCCCCTATGCTTTTGACCCAGGCAACCCAAAGGACTTTCCAAGCCTCGGCTTCTACCGTTTGGCAGGAATCGGTGGGCTAGACAATCAACAGTGTAAGACCCTGCTCAAGAAGCTATGGCGCATTGCCAAGGGCAAGCAGGGCGCCATGCATGAGCATGGCATCCTCAACTCTGGCGGAATCACCGATGAGCAGCACTTGGTCCGCCGAAAGGGCATTATTAATGGATCAGAGAGGTGGTGCGTTCACAGCACCTATGCTCATATTCACAAAATGGCCGTAATGCGGCCTATTTACTGTAACCCTGGAGATGCTAGTGCTGAGCCCGTGATAAAATCCTGAGTGTGTTGTGATTCTGTCTTGCGCAGACAAATCTGCTTTGTGCCCTTCCCTGTCACAAGTTTATCCCCATATGACCTTCAGCTCTTACCTGTGTCTGCACCATTGTCCCTCTGGCTTTCTCCTTCACCAGATTCATGCCTTGTGCAGTTCCATGTTTCTCCCTCAAGTTCTTCGGACTCTTGTTTAAACGGCCGAATCAGGCCGACAACCCGTCTTGACCTCCTGCGAATATACAAAAAGTTGTGCAAAATCTTCTTTGCGGTATATTGTCATTGAAGTAAGTCCTTGACGGGTCCCTTCCCACAGTTTCATGATAACGCATACTTTTCTTACTTCCTGAGATTCTATGGACGTTTGTATACAGCAGATGCGAGTGCAATTGCTATTTCAGAAGGGGTCGTGAGTTTGACTTTAATGTTGGGCTGCTGTCTAAGCACATTTGGCCGAAAACGTGGCCCCTAAATTTCCAGAAACATGTGCATCCAAACGTTGACCTGTACTTGGCTACTAGCCTTTTGAAGATTCAAGAAACCCAGGGCCCTATAGGCCAACATGTCGAGTGGCTGGCGTAGATCCAGCTGGGATAATCACTGGAACCAGTCCCAGTTGTGGTCATCCTGCGACCAGAACCAGTGGGGGGATTCCCCAAAGGAAAGAAGGCTCGATTATGATGGCAACGGCAATGATGCCATGCCAAAGCGGCCCAGACGTGACGACTTCATGTCCGGATCCCCCACGGGAAATCCAGACGGCGTTGGCCAACCAATCTTGAACAAATTGCCCACTTTATTCCTGACTGATAGCGATCATTACGATCGCACAGAAGTTTGGGGGCAAAAAGCTCCCGAAAAAAATCATGTCCACTGACTGGGCCAAGACACACGGATTGGCTGGAAGAGACCTCCTTGCCATTACACTTCCAGAACTTATCTACATGGGTTGGCAAAACCAAGGATTAAGATACCTGGGCCAAGGGTGGTTCACAGGAGTTCTTACCCGCAACATCCGTGAATCCGTTTTTGTTGAGACGATGTTGAAACATGTTCGGGCCAAAGGCATAGACCTGGATAGCGCCACTAAAGCGCAGGCAGTCCAGAGAGGTGCCAATGGTGGCGACAACTTGACAAATGCAGACAAGGCCCACCTGATGGATGAAATGGCCCAGTTCATCATTTCCCCGTTGCAGCACAACAAAGACGTTGAGAAGGAGATGAGTAGCTTGCAGCGTCAATTGGAGGAAGCTAACCGAACCATTGCTCAACTCCAGCAAAGCAAAAATGCGGCTAGCCTCTTGTACCTGCTGCGGTGCATCTGGATGCCTGAGTGCATAGCTGATGGCCGCTCAAACAACACATTTTTACAAAACAACGCATTTTCCCACAAAGCTTCGGAGTCCGAGCACCCTATAGATCAGAACCGCAGGTGACGCAGGTGTGACAATAATGCAGCGTCTGCACCTTGAAGATCCTGAGATTCTGATTGTGGACCTGCCGGTACCGTAAAGACATCTTCTGTGTGGCCTTGTGGCTTTATCCAGTGTGTGAGGAAGTTGTGTGTGTGTGTAACCTTGTGTGTGAGAGTTGTGTGTGTATAAGCTGTGTGTGAGTAAGTTGTGTGTGTGAGTGAGTTGTGTGTGGGTAATTTGTGTGTGTGTGAGAGAGTTGTGTGTGAGTAAGTTGTGTGTGAGAGAGTTGTGTGTGAGCAAGTTGTCTGTGAGTAAGTTGTGTGTGAGTAAGTTGTGTGTGAAAGAGTTGTGTGTGAGCAAGTTGTCTGTGAGTAAGTAATGTGTGGGAGAGTTGTGTGTTAGTAAGTTGTGTGTGGATAAGTCGTTGTGTGTGAGAGAGTTGTGTAGAGAGTGTGACGGAGGAGGCGGGAGGAGGAGGGGCGGACGCGGATGGGAGTGCACAACCAAAAATCAGAACCCCACACAAAGATGTGGGGAAAAAAACGTGTGGCCACAGAGCAGCTAAAAGAGTTCAAGGTCCCCAAAGCCGGCGTAGCACCTGTGGCACCAAAGGTGGTGTCATGCGCAACTGCTGCAGACCTGGAGGTGATTGGTGGCCCTTCTCTGACATCGTTGCCAGTGAAATATACCCCAGCAATAGATGGGTTCTTACTATTACCTACTTACTGAGTGGTATTATGTTTATATATTGTTCTAAATATACAGTGTATATATATATGTATATATTCATGATTTCTAAATATACAGTAATATATGATATATGTGTATGTCTATTAGCAGTGTATAAATAAATATATAGATATATAGATACGCCAGCAATATATGGGTTACAAACCACTTTAAGATGCCTGGGACGCAAGCCCATTGCGTAGAACGCTACGGAAATGATCTGCATTTTCTGGTGGGTTGTGGTGGGTTTGAGGTTTTGCCAATTTACTGGAGAGTACGTACCAAAAAAATGTGTAGTCACCTTAGATGTTACCTTCTATGTCTGACTTGTCCGATCTATTTCATTCGCTGTAAAAAAAAGATAGTATGGTCTTCAGGAAAAAAAAAATAAGATAGATCTCGAATTCAAATGCATCATGGCTTGAAGGCTGCCGGATATCTATGTAGTACTAAGGTGTGACAGAAAACCAAAAACCAATAGGCCAATGGGTGTTCTTCTGGGATAGGGACCCTGTAGTCCGCAGTCGATGCACATATGACAACTCTGTTGAAGATTGGGGACTGTGTACAGTACTTGCTGCAAGACAATTTGTTACGAAGAAAATCCAAGAAGCAAGTCTTGCTATCATGTCTCAAGGACCCAAAACTCCGAAGGTGCCAAAGGTGATTGCAGTGATTGCTCAATGAGGTGCAACCCTTAGATAAGCGGTGAGAGATGGTCAGAGTGTCCTGGGTTCTGACAAACCAGTTCCAACCAACCATGGGCCAATGGCTTCACGACACACTTCCTCCGATACAAGAGAAGTATAGAAAAGTGATCTAGCTTCTCATGTGAGCCCTGCAATGAGGAAAATTGATGGTCTTATTATCTAATGGGATATAGACTGATTGAAAACAAACCAAGAGCCAACAAAGCTAAAACTACTGTTCTTCAGACTTTTGAGGCGCTGTCCTCCATTTCTATTAACGTACTATATATCTAATTAAATTAGGTTGACATTTCTGGAGGCACCTATAGGCCTTGACAGTCGTTAGGGATCTTTTCTAGTTGGAAGCCCTCCGGTCTTATTCCCAATTTTATAAGCCTGAGTTTTTTGACCCGGATTCCTTCAAATAATAGAACAAATCTTCATGCCAGAAGCGATTTGGCAATTCATATCATATGGGAATTTATAGGATACTAGATGTTGAAAAGGGAAAACCCTTGCACCACCGTACCAAATAGAAAGGATCAGGTCAAAGTTCGGTTCCGGAACAAAAGAAACGTGACACCGAACATCAAATTTCAACCCTGTGCCTGGCCAGTCAAAGGACTTAAAGAATTGGTGCTCCCGAAGCATAGGGGTGCGGAGACGCACCTGAAGCCAACAGTGGCGCAATGCGAACTGTTGATAAAATTAGATCCCAATGTTTCTGCCTCGATTGCAATGGTTCGCCAACCGAAAATAAGGTGATTTTGGGATATTTTGGGATATGTTTGGATATTTTGGGATATTTTTGGGATATTTTGGGATATTTTTGGGGTTGGTTTCCATCAAACCATCATTTCCACAGCTAGTAAGCTCATGATCAACCAGACTTCGGGTCCACCTCAGGACTCCGGTGGCACAAGTTTCGCACCAGCGCTGCTGCCTTGGATTTGAAGAGAAATGATAGGTCTCAGAAAAAAAAACTGGTTTTACCTATGAAAATCAAAATTTCATCGACAAAACACCGTTCCCAAAATGATTAAAACGGAGGAATTTACAGTTGCATTAGAATTAGACCGGATTTGGAAAAAAAAAACAAATATTCAGAATCCCCTTAGATTGGGTGCCTTCGAATTCCCTGGTATTTGGAATGATAATCTAAACACAAAAATAAAGAAAAACATGAAACACATATATAACACATGCTAAAATTGGTGGCCTCCGCAGCACAATGTGTCCAAAACCACGGCCAACCTTCCTTAGATCCCCTAGTTTCAAAATAGATTAAATAGATACTTCGGATTCCCCCAATTTCCAGCATTTTTCTACCCTGGTATTGCTTGTCGCCAGTCCCCATGTGCCGCACCTGGAGCTTCACCGAGCTTGGGAAGTGCACCGTCTCGATGCCACGCTTCACAAGGCCATAGGTCTCTTGCGCGTTGCCCGTCTTCGACTCGAAGGGCGCGTGCCCTGGACCGGGACCCAACCGGACCCAGGGGAGCCAGGGGACCCAATGACTTGAGCCATATTCTAAGATCGTGGCTGATGATGCTGATGATATACATATATATATATATATAATTACATATATTATGAAACAACTATGTGAATTTGAGGTGTATAAATTGACTGGTTGATGTATGGTGCTTTTGATACTTGTCACCATTCATCTGCCATGTTGATCTATTTTGGGCGAGTATAGCCCATTTTCAGACAGCTCCATCTATGCCATGGCTATGGTTCTGTTAAGAAGAACACTGGTCAATTGTTGAGAAGTACACGGACCACCATCTGAAATAGCCTCCGGTAATCAAACATGTCTAGCTGGAGAATCCACTAACACCTAACATTTCAATGGAAAAATCATCTATAATTGGAGGCCATGTTTGATTCCCAGAGGGCATTTCATAACCATTTCCCAACTGGAAAACAAAAACAACCCGAAATGTTCTTTTGAAAGACTGGGAAAATGATCATCCACCATGAGACTTTGAATCGCATATTTTCAGGCTAGCTCTTCGCTGTGCTTGGATGCAACTTATTGAATCAGTTCATACAAATTCCAGGTGTCCAACTGTTCTACCTAATTGGGGAACACTATACCGTTTGGTAATCCAGACTGTTGCAGCAATTGCCAATCAAAAATCCCAATGTTTCATGTGAAAAAAATCGCCAAATCAAATCATGTGCACTGCACATGGTTTTTGCCAAACATGTTCCACATCTGGCTGTTCAAGCTGAAGTTCAATCAATCTCATGCCACCAACTCTTCGGCTAAAAATCTGCCACCTTCTGGTGGGTTTCCACCCGTGGCACCTGCCAGGAGTTCAAACAGTAAAACTCCTAAGGTCCACCAATCCACGGACTTGGTGTGACCTGTTTGATCAATGACCTGCCGCGTGCAGCGACTGGGGCAGTTGGGGCAGCTGGGGCACTGGGGAGAATGATCTTCAAAAAACAATAGATGATATATGTATATATATACACGTATCGCCTGTAGTGCATGTTCAATATACAGGACATATTTTTCATGTGTATACACATATATATATATATATTATCATATATCATATGTCATATATCATATATCATATATCATATTATATATATCAATATATATATATCAATATATATATGATATATATATATATATATATATATCACAGATATCATTCATTGATTCGTCATATACATACATGCATACGTATATAATTATATATATAATTATATATATATAATTATATATATATATTATATCATATATCATATATCATATGTCATATATCATATATCAAATATCATATATCATATATCATATATCATATATATATATCAATATATATATATATGATATATATATATATATGTTATATATATATGATATATCACAGATATCATTCATTGATTCATATACATACATGCATGCGTATATAATTATACATAATTTTATATACATATATATATATATATATTCTATCCGCATGATTCCACATGTATATGTACAATATGCAGCCCTGCTCACCTCTGGCGCCATATAGTCTGGCGTGCCCACCATGGTGAACGTTGGACCTGGGAAGAAATGGGACCCATCATGGGGTCACTTCAATGAAGCGGATGGAAAAAACGTCTGTAAAAGACGTCTGTTTATGTGATTTTATGTGTATATACACATACATGCACACATTGCATTGCATTAGATTACTGTAGGCTAGATTAGGTTACATTACATTAACATAGCATAATATAACATAGCAAAACATAATAGCATAACATTACCTTACCTTTCCTTGCCTTGCCTTGCATTACATGAAATGAATCTATGTGTGTACGCAAATGTACATAGGTGTATGTTTATTAAATATATATATATATATATATAAATCACATGTATGTACGTTGGTGGTTTCATAAAGTCTCCAAGAGTAAGACAGGGTAATGTTTGATGATTTTCATATCTCCACATACCCCCATGATTTCAGGTGAGTACCCCCTGTTGCGGGTCACATGGGTGTGTCTGAAAATCATGGATGTTGACTCCAATCTATGGCGATTTGAAATAGGGAAACACGATCAAAATAAGCCGTGATGTTGAAGTGGTACAGTACCCTGTTTTCGGAGAAACACACATAATGATGAATTTCATGTTTATTCAGGTTGATCCCCATGTATATCCCCCCAATGAACTGTATACATATATATATATGTACGGAACACAGGACAGGCGAGTGCAGTTGAGGTATAAGCAAACAGGCAGTAAGCAATGCAAGCGGTGGAGAGAGCCAGCCCAGCCCAGCAACGACGTATGGGGTGTTCTTCAAATGGGTGGTCCGAAAGACACCATTTTTGTTTCAATACTAAGTATATCTAAATATACTAATATGATCTAATGACTTGGATGATGTGGGGATACTCCGATGACTTAGTAAACCACCATATATCATATATATATATATATATATACAATGTATAATCATTGTGTACATGTTTCACCCTTGGATCTAGTTCACCAATTGCCGTGACATCTTCGAGATTTCTTGACATCTTTGTGTCCCGACTGGTCGTAATCTTGGCCAAGCCCATATCTGTCACCTACGTGCAGGTCAGCAGGCTGAGCCCACCGCGATTTTCCATGGGCCCATGGGCAGTAAACCGCGGGAAAACACTGCAAGTAGCTGTTGGGCTGTTGGGCTTTTAGAATGTTTTGAGAATACACATGCTGCCCCTATTTTGTTATATTACAATATTTTCTACATAATATGAAACCTGAAGAATATATGTATAGAGTCGGAGTTAGATGGTTTTACGACTGGATATGGGCCAACTGCTGGGCAATAAAATCATGAATCCTGGATCTTGACCAACCCGCCTTGCAGAAGCCTTTCACGTCTAGGAGAAGGTTCTCCGGCTTTAGATCCTGAAGCCAGGTATCGACCAACCATTGGATTCAACCTGCTTCCGAGCACCGGTGGATTTGCTGAATTGCAGAGTTGCTCGGATTGTGCTGTCGGAAATTCCCCATCCTCCAACAGTGACTCCGCAGCCTTCAACTGGCTCCACTATATATATGGTTGGTTCTCATCTTAACTGGGTAAAACCGCATGAGTTTAAGGGACCACGTACAGAAAAAACACCACACTTGAATCCGAAAATCAGTGTAACTTTTAATTATTAATAATCATCCCCGAATTAATCAACATCCACATTCAAAAAACAATCTGGCAATCCTACTCTGGGTTGGTCCCTCCCTATTTATAAACACGTGCAACCCCTCCAATTAAACAACACCCTGCTCAGAAATCCTAATTTTGTGGTAGTCAGGATAAAATTACGATTTTAATGGTTTTAATTGCTTTTTAATGCTTTTTAATGGTTAAAAAAGTAATGTTTTGAAGGGGTGTCTCATGCCCAATCTCACCATCTCACCCCATTGGGAGGGAGGTCACTGAAAAGAGAAATCTCGAGCCATTGGCAGGCAGGGTGTTCTTTCTTTATTATGACAAGCCCAAGTTTTTTTCATTGGGGGTGAATCAAAAAAACCTTCAAACGGGGGGTTTATGAAATGTTATACGAACTTGGCATTACCTGGAACCCACCTGGAACAGTCCACCTGGTGTCGCTGCGAAAAACTGGGCTCAGGGCTCTGTAGATCACATTCTTCTCATGCAAATGGGCCAACGCCTGGCCGCCCAGGTGTGGAGAATGAGAACTCCAGGTACGACTGGAGGATCCTAGTCATTGTATCTGGTTAGTCTGGTTAGTGTTTGTGGAATGAAAAAAACAAACAGTAAATGGGATCACAAGTGGATCAGCTACGCATCAGGGACTGATCAGCGTGACTCTACCAGTTGCGATTCGGAGGATCCTCCAAGTACTGGTGCCTGGGAGTGCGACAAATGATGCAATGACTCAAAATAGAGAGTCTTAAAGTCAGACCTAATACCTAATCCATCTCCCGGGATATGGATTGAAAATCCAAACAACCGTATGTTTCGGTTGGTCGTACCCTAATTACTCCAATCTCATGTGGATGATACTAGTACCATGTTGTTATGTTTGTGTACAGTGTGTGCAGTCTATTAAGTATACTATAACACATACATGATATAACTATCAAAGAATACCATTTGTTCATCAAATCCGACCACTCCATCACACTGCTGCTATCTTTCAAAAAACCAGGAATTGTTATTTTGCGTATGTGACCGCAGTTGGATGACAAGGTTTTGCTGCAAATGCAAACGCCCAGCACTGCTCAGTACTGAGCGTAGCCAATCTTAGATACACAAATATATGTATGTTAACTGTCAGGTAAATATTGATCCATGGACAACATATAAATATACTGTATATATAAATATGTGTTCAGCTTGTTAGGTCAATACAGACACATTGCAAAAGATTCGTCAGTAGCAAGGTATCCATCCAGTCGACACAGTGCATGTCCCGAGAAACCAAGCATCATCGAAATAGGCGTTGAACCTCTTGGTCCCAAAAATATGGATGTCGAAAACAATAACATGGAGACACATTTTTTCCAATGCCAACAATATCGAAAGCAAACATTTCAAGCACCAGACATTGGGACTATAATTAGTGGGATATTAACATATATTCATCCCATTATGATATAGTATCTGATAATCCCTATTAGTAACTATATATACTATCAGTTAATCCCTATTTATACCACTATTAATGGGAGCCATCAACTGACCTCTGTGACGCAGGCCACATAGAAGCGGGCATGCACCTCTGAGCCTGGGACCGACCCGGTGCCAGCATGGAGCTGAAGTCAACATTAAGAAGTTTTCGGGTCTGGGTCACTCCTGATTTTGTTGGATGATTGAATTTCCATGGGATTTTGATGGAATTCAATGAATTCTGATGGATTTTCTGCACAGGAAAACATTGGTTGATCTGGATTTTTATTCAAAAAGGCGCCCTTTAGAACTTTAGATTTGGTATATCTATCTCATAACAACTCAAATTGTATCCTAGGCTGGGTCACCAAGACCCACATAATCCGGATCGAAACAGCCTGAAGAGTATCTGTACTACCAGGATTGCCAACATCTTTGTAGACTCTCCCTGACTCTCAATCAGGGTTTGTCTGAACATTTCGGCGAAAACTCCAAAATCCTACGATGAATTGTTCATTCTGTGTTGTTTTTTTTTGATCACCCGTTTTCAGACAAACCCATTGTGGGATAGATGGTTGTATATCCCATGAGATGTTCATTGATATCTCATTATTTGAGGGCTAAACCCTATCATATACCCATTACATACCTTATAATATATAATAAAAAAATATAATATATAAAATAATAAATAATCTATAAAATATAAGATAAAATGAAAAATATAATATACATATAATATAATGTAATATATATATATAATAAAACATAATATTATATATAATATAATATGTGTTTTCTTTTTTTTTTTTTAATATATATATACAATATACAATATTTTAATATATATATAAATAATAATATTTAATAAATAAAACAAAATATATAATATATAATATACAAAATATCAAATAAATAATATAGATTATAAATGTTAAAAAAAAATCAATATGATAAATAATACACAATATATTTAATATATAGCAAATGAAATATTGAATATATAAAATAAAATCTAAAAAACATATAATAAATAATGAAACATTACATATTATTTAATATATAATATAAAATTTACATATATATAATGTAAAATATATAACATATATAAAATAACAAATGCTATAGTATATGAAATATCAAATGTAATATTCAATGTAAAATATACAATATAAAATTGAAAATATTTAATATACAATAAAAAATAAATAATCAAATATATATACATATATTTTTTAATCTATAAAACATAATACGTATATATATATATATGTATAAATATATCCCAGATATCCTCATTAGATCCCATTAGATCCTCATTTGCTTAATGGTTAAATTGCCAGCAAGACCATTCCACTTAAAGGTCTGCTGAAGAGGACGGATCCCATGGTCAGGCAGTGGCAAAAGTCTAAAATCGCGAAACACCATTGGAAGTGTATGTGCAAAATGTAAATGCATAATATATATATACATATAATTAATATATATATATATATATATTCATGTATAAGTATAAACATATGAACAAATAAATACAAATACACATGAACATATATAGGTTATATAAGTATAGATGTATATATATATAAATACACATACGCATGTATAAAAATCTGTACTATACGTACCAATTACCTTCCTAATCATCTTTTATCATTCGCTCCCTCTTCCGCTCTTCGGACGTCCGGACCGTAGAGTTTCAGCCGCTCATAAGTTGTGAAAAGTTCACCCCCCAAAGCAGCCTGCTGTCACCGGAGCTGGTGCATTTTTTTTGGACAGCTTGGATCAAATCCTTTGACGGAGGCTGAAAAGAAACATAGAGAATATTGAACATATTTTAAGAGAAAGAGAGAGAGAGAGAGAGAAAGAAAGAGAGAGACTATGACTGACTATGATGTATATTTGTATATTACTGTCACCAAATATACATATATATATATATATAGATTAAACATGTGTGTATATATATATATATAGATATTGGGGATCCAGAATTTTGACCCAGGCGCCAGGCACCGGTATCTTATCCATTGGAATGAAGAAAAGTACCAGCACTCTGCAAACTAACCCTTGTCTCCCTAGCATCCTTGTAATGGTCACTTGCCAACCACAAACTGCGCAGACCTGCTTAACAACGCCACTATAACGGCAACGAAGCATGGGAAGTCCCATTTTGTGATAGAAACATACGTAAAAATCATCTGTAATGGTTAGATTGTTATATTGCAGAAGGTAATGGACATGATTCGGTGGGTCATTTTTTGGTTACACGGGGACTCGGGGCCCCTGATAATTTGCACATCTTTTAAATTTGAACATGGCTCTACTACATTGATGTTGTGTAAGATGAAGATGCGTTTAGTGTTGTGCTTGTGACATAGAGATGTCGGACATTGTCGGACCAGGTCCTCTGGGGTGTTTCAAACATGGTTCATCTTACTGACAGAATTGACATACATGTTGCTACGCTGCTTGTTGCTTGTGGCGTTTTCGGGGGGAGTGGCGGGGGGGTGATAACGTTCTTGATAGTACGCTCTTGATGATTCATCTTTGATGAACTTGCATACATGTTGCTACGCTGCTTGTTGCGTGTGATTGCTTGTGGGGGTTTTGGGGGGTGGGTGGGGGGGCCGCGATAACGTTCTTGATAGTACGCTCTTGATGATTCATCTTTCATGAATTGAAGGATATGCGCGTTGATACGCTGTGCGCTCTTCGTGGTACGTGAGTTCTGGACAGAGTAGAGTTGCTGGAACGCAGCAAATCGATAAGCTGTGAACATGGCGCAAAGGCTTCATATGTGACCCTGTATAGACACGTGTCGATGGCTTGCCCAACCCGCAGTTGTTCAGCCAAGCATATAAATATGTATGGCAAAAGAACAATGTGGACAAGAACTTGTTCCAGCTGTTGGCCATGGAACTGAAAAATGGAGGATGAAGGAAATTGTTTTCAAAAAAAATGGAGATGATGCGGTGAACAATCCCCTGCAAATACCATTGAAAGATATTGAAAATGTGTTGTGGACCAAGTCCTCATGGCATTTCGTGGCAATTTTCCAACTATTGATGTTCACGAAACACTGCGCAGGTTGAAAAAAATCATTGCACGCTGCTGCTGAAAATGTTGATTTCGTCAGGGGCCTCGAGCCCACATGTTACCCATTTTTTGGAGCGTTGGGTCACATCACCCTAGCCTCCAACAGGAAGTACACGTGCTCTCTGCCATTGTAAGTGGCCAGCAATCGCACCACCTTCCCAGCGTTCTAGGGGATCCCACTATCCCCATGGGATATCCCCAGTTCTATGGGTTTAAAGCCACAAGTACGATGCCTGGGATGCACGTAGAACAACTACGGCTTGAAGGTCGTGATTCAATTCATGGACTGCAGCAGAACAACTGTTCAACATAGTTGATCTGGGTTCGGGTGTTCGAAGGCGTCTCAGGTTTGGATATCCGCTTTCGTTGGTCGCTTCGCACTACAAATGACGACAAACTGTTCTGATTCGACGCCATTGTGCAGTCATATAAAGTCATAGCCGCCAACAT